TTCTTCTTCTCGTTCTTCTTCTCTTCCTTCTTCTTGTTCTTCTCTTTCTTTTTCTCTTTCTCTCTCTCTATCGTTTACAATATTCATTTTTTGTCAAAATCTTTTTCATGTCAAATATGGAAATATCGGTGTTTTTTTATTGTTCATTTATTCTCAGATCCTGCATCATCACATCTATTATTAAGCAAAAAGCAGACAGTGATAGCTGTCCCTCCTGTTGCTTCGTCTGATTTACGAGGGCCATACCTCCCACCAGCAAATGGAGACAATCAGATCTTTCTTCCTCATCATCACTATCATACAGGCTATCATTTTAGTCATGGGCTGCTAGTGAGGCCGCAACCAGGTAAATATTATATATAATAACAGTGATGTACAACGTAACTCTCTAAGTACTGTTCAGATATACAATTCCACTGTTGCATTGGAATAGTTTTATGGTTTCGACATGGATTTTACGTTCAAACATTGATGTTTTGGCAACGCTGTTGGTAGCCATCATCGATATGTTTTAATGTCTAAATTGAGTCTCCAAAGTATTATGCATGTATTAAGCACACATTGATGCATTAATTGTAGATAAATCTTGATTTGTTCCAGGTTACCATGTGTATCACCATCATGTCCTACATCCAGCGGGATTACACCAAATAAATCATGTACCTTATGGCCATCATATGGCATTAGGCCATGTAACACCCCATACTATCCATCATTTACCATACGGACATCACGGCCATTTTACTCACATACCATACGGTCATGTTAACTCCATACCTATCGGAATGTCCGACCACCATGCATTTGATGACCCACTATGGCCCAGTATGGACCTATCAGGACCCGTTGCTGTGTCGGACCCTAATGATGGACTCTATCAAGAACCCAGAACAGGTACCCTCGTCCCACGTCCCATCATGCCACAGCAGTACCCAGTACTCTTAGACCACAGCTCCAACATGGCCGGGGAGAATGGACCTGGTCTGGTTTTTGTTGGTGGAACAGCAAAGAGTGCCATTCGTAAGTAATATTTGAATTTCCAAGGGTAGAGTCATCATTATTCAGCTTTGACCATGGTTGACAATGTAACATGGTTATAATAATAAGGGAAGCCAAATTAATTTAGAATCACTAAAAACTGATTTTCGGGTATGTTTCCCACTTTTTTCTTGTTTTTAATGCAATTGATGTCTTTTTTTGCTAAAATCAAATACAATTTCTTTTGATTATGGTTGACTGTGTACCATGGTCATCATTACTTTCTAACCATGGTCAGACACGATGGTCAAAACATTGTTGACCATGATTGACAATGAAAAGCCGTGGTACCATGGTCATTCTAACGCAGGGGTAGTTTCATAACTTCAAATGCGCCAGCAGATTATTATTTGATCATGCGCCTTGCATGACTGTTGATATAAAGCACATGTATAAAAATTAGTAGCTAGCTGAAGACCGGGTACCCCCATCCACAACCCCTTTTGGGTGTCTTTGTCATTTTGATTAAAACAAATTCAAACTGCTCGAACAGTACAGAACGCGACTCAATCACGAGCTCCAGGGTAATAGAGTTCTAGTATTTCAATGTCCAAATGATTTTAAAACGTGCCAGTTAAAAATCAAATTTTCAGCGCTAGACCATATAACAGTGTAGAGGATCAATTCAATATAACTTTTTATGTGTATTGAATCTATTTTAGTTTGCTACTTTCTCCCTTGTAAGTTCTTATTTGAAAGTATTATATAGTTTCAAGGTGCAGAAATATTCTCTTAACCCTTTTGGGTTGTTTTCTTCTGCTCCTGCCAGTTAATTTTTTTTTAAATGGTGATGTAAAGTATAAAATTCTCATTCTGGGAAATAAAAAAAACCTTGAAACCTTGAACCTTCTTATTAACTATGCCAAATTTTTTTGTATCACCAGCACATGATGTAGCGCAGAACATGGCAGCAAGGAAAGCCTCTCAGACCAGTGCACCTCAAAATAAAATGCAAGATTAACATACTTCAAGTGGGTGGATTGGAGAGTAACATGATTTCAAGTTCTTAATCATGTTCCTTAGACAGAACATGAAGTAAAAAAATATGCATTCTTATAAAATAATATGCAGGCCCGTCCAGTATAAGACTGACGTTTGTTTAAACATGTACCTGTGATAATAAACTGTCTACCAAATTATTTTGTAATATTCCTGAAGTGCAAGAAAAATATGAAACTGATTCGCAAAACTATGTGAGTATGAAGAAAGGTGCAGCGATGTTCTGGTATTTTGTTTCTCGATTTCAAGCCTGAATCGAATGTAAATATTAGCGCCAATTTTCAATCCCGTAAAATCCCCATATCCAATCCACAATCAACCCTTTAAAAAATCACTATTACACTGTAAAGGCCAGACACTGAGGGTGGTTACTGCCCGGGTTTCTTTACGTTCTCAGTTGTTCTTTTACGTCCCTCCCTCCTAGGGTGAGGTGGTGTAGAGAGACGTGGTTGCTATTACAAAGGGCAGTAATTCTCCTCAGTTATTTTGAGACCCTGAGTGTTGGTCCGGCTGGTACTCGAACCACGACCTCCCGCACGAAAGTCCGATGCTCAATCAACTGCCGGAGCCAACCAGCTCGTTCTCAAACTCTTCTCGAACACCTACCCTCATGCAGGTATCTCAATCTGACTAATTCCATGCGAGAACTCGGGTATTCAGTTTCATATTTTTGCTATCAGGTGTGACTTACCAGCCAAAATCACATCAAAACAAAAATTACAAAAATCATATCAGACATTTACTGAAACAAAACAAAACAAAACACAATAATCAGATAATTTCTTGAAATGAATGAAATAAACGACATTTAAAATCTAAATGAATTTAAATGTAAAGACCTAAGAAGCCATCACTCGGAATTGAAAGCAAATAAGTAGGAAAAATCTTGAGTTCAAATTATGATAAATTGGACTACTATTTACTTCATTAGACTATTTGTAGCTGGTCTAGATTCAAAACAACCATGACTACAAGTAAAAGGTGTTAGCATACATTTAGTTACAGGAACATTTGTTGGTACCTTGAATGAAGTCACCAAATTAAAAACTATCCAAGAACATATCTTTTCTTAAGGAATCCATATTTCCTAAGGTGAGTCTAATGATCTAGCGTACGTCTGTGTAATTGCAGAGAGGTACTCCTAACGTAGTGTACCGTGTACATGAAAGGAATTTCTTTCGTACCATGATATTCATCTTTAATATAACTTGAAATAAGAATTTAAAAGCAATTCCGCTTAGGTTACTAAAGGTCTCCTTTTTTATTGATGATTTGAATGAAAACCTTTATGCCAGTTTCCAAACATCATTTTTCCCTCTCAAATCTTGAATCTGCAACATCCTCTGAGGGGCTGATCAAAATCAGGGCAACGCTCAACTCACTGATCAAATTGGTATTGTGTGTAGGCGCCAAAAGAAGGGAAACTCTACTCGCATGTGGCGCCAACTCCAGGAATCAAACCCGAGACCCCTGCAGAAGTTAGAGGCGAGTGCACTTAAGACTACAACGCGTGCTTCAATCCAAGAAAATATTCAGTTATCTAGTCTAAAAATATTGTGACTGCATGAATGAGACTTTTTAAGCTGATTCCAGTTATTGCCAAACTAAAGGCCAGATATACAGTTTTTGCAGAACGTCTCCTAATACGTCTCCTAACTTACTACATTCCGTTTTAATTTTATCGTCTAATCCAAATATTACCTTTGGTTGACAGAAAAAATAAAATAAAGATATTGACCAGCCAGCGGTTAAATCCCACGTCAGTAATTAACCATGTTGGTCATCTCATACCTCTGTGTCGTGGTTGTCGCGGATTTATTCTGTACTTCGTCTGCAAGACCTTTCACGGGTAAGGGTAGCTTCCATTAAACCCTTAATGATAAGTTTTACGTGGTTTTCCATGAAATGCCCAGAGAAAGTTCAGTAATTTTTTGCAAAGCGATTAGTACGTTCTCTAAAAGGGTTTTTTTCAGCATTTCTAAACAAAGGAGCGACAGAATTTTACACCAAGGATGGAAAATGAGGTATCCTTCTTAATTACGCCAACCTCAAAGTCCCTCCTCGATATTGAGACGTACTGGTAATTTCAGTGAGTTGCCCAGAGACAGTTCAGTAATGTTTTGCGAAGCGATTAGTACTCAAAAAAGGATTTTTTAAAATTCTTTTTTAAGAGAGCACTCATAAGAATAAAAGAAGTGTAGCCGTAGAAAAGAATAACATTGTTGATTCATCCACAACTAGTCAAGCACCAAACGCAAAGAGAGACCACATTATGCCACACATAATGGCCAATCCACCTATAACACCGTCCCTTCTACCTGATGCCTCTGATGTCGTCCTTATGCCTAATGGTGTTCCCTCCAGCGTTGCTACATCTGTCCACAATTTCTTCAGGCAACACCCGAATGGTTTCCATGCACCGAATTTAGCTGGTACTCGAATACCTCTGGGATACATGGGACCACTAAATGGGCCCCACTTCGAATCAACGGATGAAGCTCTACTGCCACATCTGACTACTCTTTCTGGGGCACGAATTGGGGTATTACATCCACACGCACCTCAGCTTGGTCCTCATTTTCATACCGGGTCTCACTACGGCCCTTTACATAGATTTCCTTTAGGTCCATATCACAGAAATAGGCACCATCATTACGGACCCCACGTGGGTCCAAATTTCGGTCCTCATGCACCGCCTCATTATGGTCTCCATGTTGGTCCTAATGTTGTCCCCTTGGTGTCAGTGGATCCGTATGATAATGGTGCTTATCAGGTACCTGGTACAGGGGTTGTTGTTCCACATGCGGTCATGGAAGAGGAAGGACTAGATCCCAGCGTGAATGTCATTGGTGATAATCATCCAGGAACCGTGTTCTTGGGTGGAGTTCCCAGTAATGCATTAGGTAAGTAATTTTCTGAAAGCTGAACCTAATTGAGCAGGTTTATTGAGAACGCGGTCGAAATGAACAAGTATACACTGGCAATTGTTCCCAATGGAACATGCCTCCTCTGCATAAGGTGCATTGCTGGATAGTACAATATCAAACATACTTTATTAGTTACTCCCTTTTGTGGCAATACCTGCAATAGCAAAATATCCTTTATATTGAGCTAAGCGTATTTTTGACCACGTTAAATAAAGTTATTTAACGGACATTTCAGAACTAATCAAAATAATTATTACAAGCGATAGTCAGTGACATTCAGTCATTAAAAGGCTATATGAGTCATGCATTTTTTTCAGATTCTCTTTCCGCTTGTGGCTTAAATTTGATACATATTTGTGAATAAAAGTTACATCATTGTGATGTATTCGAGTATAAAAGTGGACTTTATTACTCAGAAAATGACCAAAACTACACTGTCAAAGTTCGGCCTGAAATACCACGAGGCAGTGTGTAGTACGCACAGGATTATGGGGTGGGGAACACAGGAAACCCATAACTACATAACAATCATTGATTCGTTGGAGTACCCGTAGTGCATTTCGTGGCTATGGTAATCATGAATAGCATAATATAGTGCAGCCTCAGCCACCCGTTTGGGAATGCATATATCAAAGGTTTACTTAATAATCGTGAATGCCATATTGGTCTTATTTTCAGCAAACCATTATGGCGCATCCAGGAAAGAAGCATATCGCGCAGCTCTCCTTCGAGCACGTGCTATGAGGGCTCGTCAAGGGTATCTGCAGCACCTACATGCCAACCCTTACTACAAACACTAACACCTAAAATGAGGACAGCGTGCAGGGGAAGACAATGTTTTTGAAATGACTTTTTTTCTCGAAATGTCACCAGTCTGTAGATATGCAACATTACAGCCATTTTTACAATGATCTCTTTTACTTTAAAACATGCAAGATGTGAATACGAATACTTGTGCTTCTGAAAAGTTCGCATTTTTTTCAAATAAAGCTTTCGCTCACAAGCAACATTCTCAGATACAAGTAGTTCTAAATAGTTTTAAATAAAGCTCTTTGTTTGTTTTTGCTTTGCTTATTTGTTGTTTGCTTATCGTTTGCTGTATGCTTTTTGTTCGGTGCTTTTTTGATACTTTTTCTTTCTCTTCATTTTCAATTTACTTAACATTATCATAAAACGAGTTCAAGACAAGAGAGATTGCACAATCATGTACGTTGTTTTGTAGTACTATTTGAAGGAAGGTCACTTATATCAATGTTTTTGGATAGGGTATCGCGTGCCTTATCCTACGTACGACAGAGTACGACCATCTAATGATCGAATAGGACATTTCCAAGATGGCGTCATTGACCTCTACTACCAGACTCCCTTGCACACTTTCTTTTGTTCAGTTAATTGGTACTATTCTCATGAGGGAATACAAACTTGAATCAGAAAGAAAATTCGCGAAGCATTATGGTAGTGCGAGTCAAATGACGCCATCATGCAAACGTCCTATTACTTTACAAAAAGTAGAGATCACTTGTCTAGTTGCAAGACTAAAGCGAGACAAGTTGATGAGAAAACATGAACAATCAACGAATCGCTGATGAAAAGTAGAGATCACTTGTCTGCAAGGCTAAGGCGAGACAAGTTTCTGTAAAAATGCAAATGATAATTTTCTCACACTGATTTCTTCCTCTTTGATGTGTCCGTAGAAAGAAAGCACAATACATTTGCTTCGAATAACTAAGGGCATCTAAACGTCATGGATAAAGTTCCACAAGTGACAGCCTTTCCAGACTTAAGTGCCATCAAGACAGCCTCACGCCATGAATTTTCGACTTTTCTTCTTTTACACATTAATTAACACCAGAAATGGCACTTGGCCTTCTTTCTAGAGTGTTTGTTTTGTTCGAGTAAACATATTCGTACATTGGTCATTACCATGACAATAAATTGAATACGATGGATATTAGCGGCTTGATGCGCTAATAACATTGAAGAATACAAAAGCCGTGGTGCAAATAAGTATTGAATAAACACTAATCCAGCGGCAACGAGTATTTACCATACGGGAGAAAAAAGTGCAACCTTGATTAATAAAGCCAAGTCTAGGAAAAAAAGTGTGTAAAAGTCTGGTTTCATTTAACTGTAAGAGCTGTATGAGGCAAGGGAGAGGAAATGTGTTACTGGGGATGCATAGAAAACAATATGGTAAGTATAGATATCGATCGAAAACTTAAATTTTCTCAAAACTACCAAAACCCACTGCTTGAAATGCACTTTTGCGTCATACGCGAACCAGACAGTGTTGCTTCTGGTCTAGCCAAGGCACTTGCGGTTCAGTGACTAACTCGAAGAAGCAACCGAAAAACAATTATTCGATTTTCTGATCATCCGAGAGCTTCGTAAAAAAATGCGAGATTCGATTCCCTAAAAAAAGTACAGATTAAACCAATATCAGACACGAGGAAAATATATTCGGTTGAATAGGATCAATCTTTTCCAGTTTCTCGGCACTTAAGGATTTAGGATTCACAAATAAATCCGAACACATTTATCGTTTTCACGATGGAAGTAAACCAAGACACATGCAAGAAATATTAATTTCATGAAATTACATGTATTGTTTCTTTAGTGATGATCTATCCTCTGAATGTATATATCTGTAAGTATACTATGTTAAGTACTTGTAATCCTGGCACGAACAGACCACTGAGGTTTGGTTTTATATGTAAGGAACGATATGAATCATATGAAGCTCAGAAAAACAAATAAACCCCTTAGCCTGACACCAGCGAGTAGTTGGTAAAAAGTAGGTTTCTACAGCCATTTTTTATAATAATGTCGAGTTTGTTTAGGAACCACAGGCATTTAAAGAGCAGTGCTAAGCCAAAAAAACAAAAACAAAAAAAACCTTTTTGTTAGATTTATCTTTCATGCATTTTTGAGCCTGAATATCGACCTTAAATATATATTTGCCCAGTAAAATTTGCATCTTGAAGACGAAAAACAGCCACGGAATAAAAATCATTACGCGCTCGTTATGTTGCCACCTATAAGGTGCTGTAGCAATTGAAATATTCAGTTACAACATGAGGCACATGCATATATCTATTTCAGATGTACAAGTGCAAGTACTGTGGCACCAGGTACTGCAAGGCTTGTAAGAAGGGAGCATTTTATGGCGAAATGATCACAGAGAACACCTGCAGAATTTGTAATCAGGTTGGTAACCATGCCTACAAACCTCTCTATAAATACAACTCGTAAAAATGGTCAAGTTATAAGATACATGTTTTTATCTCTCGGGACTATAGAAGAAAATTTAAAGCCATGATTTTATTTCAATCTGATGCGAGAAAATCTGGCAAAGATTCCGGGAGATTTCATCTAAATTATAAATAAATAATATTTAGGTATATCATAATTATTTTTCGTCGCGGCGAGAGGATAAAGAAAGATTGCCAAGTCTCACGCCGGAGAAGTCCGAGAGCCGGTTTGAACGGAGGTTGAAATTGAATTTGAAGTCGACTTTTTTGATACAAGACACACAACATAAAAATAACTACCAAATCTACACATTTGTTTCAGCTAATTTGACAATAGACTTAGAGCATGCGCACAAGTTTTTACTTAATTTTTTTTCTGGCGTAAAGCCTGGTTTTCACCTGCGACGGAATCGAATTAGGACTGAGTTGAGATCGGAGTCGCGGTATGGGATCGAGCGATCGAAAACCGCTCGTCATAAGGATAAGCACAAGCCAAGCGAGAAGAAACCTTTCAATTTTTCCGATTCCGCTAATGGCGCACTTCCAAATCAGATTTCGAGTACGTCTTCGCTTCGTCATAAGCTGCTCCGATTCCATCGATAGTGAAAACTAGGCATTATATAATAGCGACTACCCAAAACATTTTGCCCTATAACATGTCTATTACTCAGTGCTTGATGGGCTCATCTCTTCTTCAAACCTTCCACTACTTTTCATCGAAGATACCTTTTTCTCAAAGTTGCGCGCTCATCCAAAATATTTTAAGAAACTTGACGGGCCACGATACCAGAACAGGAGCTTTATGATGAGAATTATCATACATTTCTATGAGATTTTTCGATAAGAATCCATAATAAAATCGATTATTCTCCTCTCTAAATATAACTGTCTTTTCAATTTCACGGAATTTGCGTTTTTTAGTTTTGTGGCCCGTCAAGATTGGATGCGCACGCAACCTTGAGAAACGTTCAATAAATCTAAAATCACATTCAAAGTTTATTTAATAAAAACACGCTTTAGGTTTTGATTTAATGAGTCAGAGCTAAACAGAGATTGATAAGATAAGCATATGGGACAGTAAGAATTAGAGATGAATCCGACAATAATCCATAGGATTTACAAAAATAATCCTGCAGATACATAATATTCACTTTCAAGCCAGGAATGCATTTGTTATCCAAATACTGGATTTAGGCTGTCAGCAGCTTCTTTATAGACGAAATGCAAAACTCGCACCGATGTGAGGACTAATTTGTGAACAAAGGGATCTGGCGTGATTCAATGCAATCTGGCGTGATTTAAAAGTCACGAATCATGCCAGATCCCTTTGTTCACAACTTAAGCCTCACATCGGTGCAAGTTTAATTTGCATTTGGTCTATAGCAGAAGAGAGGTGTTATTATAGCGCTTAACTGTGTGCAGTTCTCGGGCTCGGGAAACTGGGACGCTTACCAATTCAATCAATCCATCCGGTTGAAAATTTGCTGCCAATGTTAAGAAAATAGCGGGAAAATTTGACTTCTGACAGATGGTACACCCGTATATAGCTACTGGGAGAACAGAAAAGAGCGGGAAAAGTAGAAAAACTCTATCTGATCAAGTCCTAATTTTGTCCTATGACACATATACCATTTGCTTTTCCAACTGGAATTTCGGTATTTTCCGGGTAAATGGTAAGCATCCCTGAGCTCGAGTAATCTAACTAGGCAAGCGAATGACATCGCCCTTTTTAAAAAAGGCAGTAGATTTTTGTAAACTTTTTTTCTTTTAGCCTCGGTGTCAAGGAGAGCGCATAGTTATCCAGTCACTAAAGAAACCACAAGACGACAAGAACGAGAAAAATTCAAAAAAGAAATCAACCACAACTGGAGGGAAGAGACTGCAAAAAACAACAAAAAAGAGGAAATAACAAAAAAATTAAATAGTATGAAAACAAAGAAATTATAATCCTAATTTATTGAGTTCTTTATTTATCAAAAACCAGAAAAATGAATTTTAGTTTATTTGTAGTTTGAAAAAGAAAAAGCTAAAGAAGCTTCGACAAATTTGTGTATATAGAACCAGCCTTAACAACACCATTGTATAAATACAAAATAGTTTACGTACAATATAAATTAATTTATATGCAACTACCGAGCGTGAGGCCCCGTTTACCCGGACCTGCATGGTTTCAAAATAATACATTTGCATATTCAGATGGGTAAACGAGGAGAAAATAACACCGGTTTCAAATGAAACCGGGTCGTGTGTCCAGTTTGAACGTCGCATTTGTCATTTACACAATGCAACTATTAGATTTGACGTCTGAACTGGACCGAATAGTCAATACCTAACATCCAAACAAATATAAAAACAAAAGTAATCATCAGAATTAGTATTTACAAATGCCTGTGTGATAAACTAATGTTTTTTAACATGTGTCATCACTGAGTGTCAACTTAAGTACTGCCCTCATAGAGAGCAAAATGATAAAGTTACGAAAAGTAATTGGATGCTGAATGTAACCTATGGACAGGGCAGAAAAACGGGTTCTACTTTCGACGTTTATGCGTTAATAAGCTTTATGTTTCATAAACAGGCTCTTTTGGGGCTGATTAACAAAATACCAAAATTTGGGGAAATTCAAGGGATGCGTATTTGAGATATAACGCACTGAACGTTGGGAGAGATGATAAAAGTAGCAGCCTTGTCGTTTTTCTGCTCTGTCTAACCTATGTCGATTCATGGGGAATGGTGGCATTAGAAATTTTAAGAAAATAATAAAGAAAGTGTAGAATGAGAGCTGTACTGAACTACTTTATTTACTGTTCCTTCGCACCCACCAAATTTAGCTTTTCCGAAAATTTTACCACTATATTTGCAACTTAAAATTGAATAGCGCCAAAATTATGCCCAAAGTGCTAATGGCCCTTATTAAATCCAATGTTGAAAATAAATATTTACGGTATAGTCCCCTTGCATATGACGTCAAAGCAGTTCAATAGCCCACTTCCGAGATATGCTTTGATTGTCACGCACAAAGGTTTCAGTATGAGGCTACATGCTAAATGCTCAGTCATTCGTGACAGGCGGTAAGAATACATTTAATTTAGCACGTAGCCTCATACTGAAACCTTTGTGCGTGACAATCGAAGCATATCTCGGAGGAAATTTTTGTATCCGCAAATTTTTTTTTGCGGATACGGGTTGCGTCCACACGTGTCCGCAAATTTTTGTATCCGTATCCGCAAATTTTACGAAAACGGATACGTGTGGACGGTGAAAACGATTCGAATAAGCTGCGTGTGGACGCAAACATTTTCGTATCCGCAAAAACAATTTGCGCATAAAAACATTTCCGGACACGTGTGGACGGGGCCTTACAGTTTCGATTGACTGAATGATGTGTGGAGTGTATGACGTCATACCCAGATTACAATACAAAAAGTGACAAAAGCAGATTTAGTGTTTGTAGTGAGGCTAAACAATTTACGCCATGAAAACAAATGAAAGCCGCCACCTTTGTACCTATGCCTATGTTTCCTATGCTCGTGTATGGTGAAGTGCGAACCATTGCTCGTGGATTTCCATCATCAATGGATGGTATATATTTCCTCCTTTCGTGATTGGTCGCAGTACAGCGGAAGCCATTTGAAAGCCAAGATACCGTAACATTCCGCAGTTGTAAGAAATTCTGCTCTTCTGTTAAATCACCGCTTATTGCAACAGTAATGGCAATTTGGCACGACCCCTTGACGGCCGCCATTTTGGATGACAGGGCCAATAAATTTAGTTCCTCGGAAGAGCCTTACCATTCAGCATGGCTATAGGCAGAAAAGCATGCAAAGCTGCTATACGCAAGAAGCAAGCTTACGCCAAAGGAAAAGCACACGTCAAATCACGGCTGACAAAATCACCCATAAATCTATAGTTCCTCATCTTAGACGTCTTTTATGTTTAGCTTTTTTCTTTCTCTTTTTCTTGGTAAGTGCAGCAGAACCAAATGCTGCAATGAAGAGGACAAAACAGAAGTCATTCTTTTGAATTACGAATAATGTACTAACAATGAGGGCATTCTCCGTAATTGTTACTAACAAAACTATCAGTATTTTTTCCCTTTTTTTCTCTCTTTTTTATTTGGCTCTTTTTGTTGGTTTGTTGCCAATCTTATTGGGTTTTGTTTGTCTTTTCTTTACTCTGTTTGGTTTTGTGGATTGTCTTCGTTCTACTTAGCTTTGTTATTCTTTGTTTTGTAATGTTTTGCACTGAATGTCTCTTTTGTTTTATTTTCCCTCTTTGTACGTTTTTTGTTTTATCGTTGTTTCAATACCTGCTGGTGAATTATCGTCTCCTGTCGAGGCGTTAGATTCTTCTTCCCAAGACAACCTTAATCAAACACAACAAAAAAGTCAAGAATAAGGATTTTCTAGCTTCCGAATATATCTCGAATTCGCTTGACTGACCACGAAACAATGGTTTGAAGATGAGACTGAACTGGATTCTTTTATTCATCAAGTTCAACCTCGACTTGAAACCATTGTTTTGTGGCCAGTCAAGTGAATTCGGGATAGGTCTATGGGTAGCTAAGTACAAAATCCAAATCCCGAATTTTTGGGGTGCAATCACGACTTACAATCTATTGAGATATAAATAACAATGAAACAGCCGCCATATTGGTTGATTTAACAAGAGAAGTGCATCTAATGAGTGCTGTGTTATCGTCAACCAACACGGTGACTATTACGTAACATGCACCCTCATGAATGCATCTGTTAATGAGAATGCTTCCTACCTGCTTAGGTTGTCTCGTAATAACGGCCCATCACCATCTTCATAACTATCTACATCTGAAACGAGACGATCATCACAGCCGTGAACAAGAGAGCCAAAAGCACCAACATTGCTATAATATTTTGTTTTGTTTTGAGAATGAATGGATGGATAGATGGCTGAAAGAGTTTTCGGGCACAAGTCTACATTACTACAGTTTTAGTTTTATGGCATTATTTAATCTTTTGTCCATTCGAGTCCCAAATCGCGAATTGGTTTTGGCAATAAAATAACGTTTCTGAATCAAATTGCAGGGGTTAAATCCATTCATCCATATTTACCTATGACATCATCAGCATCATATGAACTCCTAGGAACAAAAGCCACAAATTAGTTACAGGATTTCAGTTGTTTTATAAAAGTAAACGTATCTGGGAATAACACTTCTGTACAAATACATTGAGTATGCATTTGATGCTACTAAAGTATTAAGTCAGAATTTTAAAGACGTGGCCAATTTCAAGAGCATATCCAATCCCAGCTTAGCACGTGCATCATCATCAAGAGTCCTTTTACGTTCCGCTTGCAGCGGTCTTTATACCCACTCTGCCAATTTGAGTAGCTAGACAAACTATATTCGAGGTCGAAGTTGTTTGATTACTTTATAGCAAGGTCGTGTTTTTTTACACAGTGTGTAACAAAAAAATGCATATTTTCCGAAATCTTTTGAAATTTATCCCAGAAGTCGCTCCCGATGCCGACAAGGGCCGTCAAAATATCGGGATGAAAACCCATAAACAATAATTGATTAACACACCCATCAGGACGAAGTCTCGTTGTTGATGTTGTCGATGCATCTGTGGTAGGTTGTTGGCCTAATAAGAAAACAATTAAAAACTTAAAGGTCGATTGGTAAATTCGTTATAGATAATAAAAGTCCATATGTCTAATGAATACTGCAAGTAATTAATATGTCAAAAAATATATTATTTATTACTTATATATCATAATTTATGGATTATCCAGTATTTACCCAGCATTAGCTGTCGAACCGATTTCCTTTGGTCATCAGAATGCTGTGGACATCGTTGAGATCTACAAACAACATATATTATAGGTCATGATTTTAATTCTTGGGAAACTGGCAAATGGTATTGCTGGGGTGGGGGATGTCTATTTCAGAGAGCAACAAATCATACTGACAATTAACTGATAAACGAACTCTAAGAGGTCTTTTTTCTTTACCTCATACAAACCTCATACATAAAAACCCTTAAGCAGCTCATGTCAAACGTCACCGGAACTTCATGAGCTGAACCTAATGGCATCAAAGAAGACCACCTTGTTATCTATTGTTTCGATTAGGTTTGGGTGATATGAAGTTCGACGTATGACCTGAGCCTAACTCTTCTACTGTGCAATTCTCATAATGTCAGCCACTTAACATCTTTTAAGATCTAAAAAAAAATGTCTCAAAGTCAAATTCTTACCCAGCCATGCAGCTGCTTACCTTGTACACATTCTCCCAGTATGTTCAGAAATCACACCACAAGTTTGTAGTAACAGAGTTTTCTTCTCATCTGAAAGGTCACAACACAATGAAATTGGTTAGATGTCCATGTACATGTACACTAAAAAATATGAATAACTGAACTAATGCATTTGCATAGACCCTAACTTTACTGATGTTCCATGATCTAAACTACCATGACAATCCTATTTAAAATCTCTTTTCATATTCAAATGTCAAAACTCCTTTGAGAATACCAAGCGGACAATAGTGAAAATTAGCATAACAAAAAAAATAGCTACTGACACTTGCTACCGAAAGGGGTTCTGGAAGTGTAGGCATAAAACGTCATCATGCAAGGGGTCTATTGGGTAAACGAGATCCATATATCTCAGTCGATACATATATCATTCATGGTCAACATGGTTGATTGACATTGATGCAATCAAAGTTGATTAACAGCTCAATCTAGGTCTATGATCCCACTGCAAGTCAGTTGAAGGATTGATAATAAGATGCGACAATAATGTCACACCCTCACTTGAAGAATACAAACCTATACTAAGTGCTTCAAAGGCTGCTACAGTTGGTCCCTGAAGAGGAAAAAATACATTGTTATTAATAATCAACCCATAAAAAATTGAAAATAATTCCTTGTGATGATAAATGTTGAAAACAGTAATAATTCTTTAGTGAGTAGATACCCTGGTGGCTGGCATTTCTCCACTGTTGACGGAGCTTGGTGTTGCTGGTCTTGGAGTTCCTGCCTCACCTATTGTTTATTATAAGTAACAATGCCATTTTAAAATAATTCAGTTAATAGTAGTTAACTTGCAGCTATGTCCAATTTACGTTACATTAAACATTAAGTAATAATTATTACAAAATTAGATTAAAATATTTTTGTGAAGAGAGGTGGACTCAAAAGTGACATAAAAACTAACTGCAATAAGCTAGTTAACCATTTATTAGATAGTAGTCTGAACTTAGAAATTATTATGATAGCCCCCATTTTATTTTTTGTGTGGGTGTATAAGCAGCAGCAGATCCAGGATTTTTGAACATGGAATACCACAGGAAACCCATAAAAAGCAGGAAAATTGTGAACAAAATGGTGTATCTTTGCTAAGTAACAAATTTGAAACTTTCTCCACCCCTAATCAGTATTCTCTGTTACTGTCAGTATTAACCTGGTGATCAAATACAAGTCAATAGCCCCTTGTATGAGGCTAAAGGCACTTTTCCCTACTCGTGATGACACTGATCTATCACTAATAAACCACTAGTTCTTACCATTTTTTCTAGGAGCTTTTGCTCTTCTAGGAGAATTACCAGGCTAGGGAATGAAATATTTGACAAAGATTAAGAACTATCACAGAAGTAATTAAAGAACAAGAAAGAAAACCCCGACAATTCCCATAAGTATTTGAATTATTATATTTAACAATCATGGCTGAAGACTGCGCTTTTATAAGCAGTCTGAGTTCAAATTTGATTTACTTCATATTGTTATATACCTTTTCTCTCTTGTTTTTCCTCCCTAAGAATTAATATTAAGTAAAAAGAATTTAATAAGGATATTGTACATGTACATATTATCAAGAAATAAACTTTTGTAATAAATAAAAAATTCCCAATATTTAAATTATAAAAAGTGACTACCTGGTTTTTTATCATTGTTCCATGTCCAGTCATCATCAAAATAACTATCATCATCATCCTCCTCCATCAATTTACCACTTGTTGCTAGTCTGAAAACAGTGTCATATTTTAGATGAAATTTGTAATATATTCCATGAATGTTTAGATGGTAGAACGTTTACAGATATTTATTAGATATTTGCCTTTCATGGAACAGGGGCAGACCCAGGAATTTTAGAAGGGGGTGAACATTACAAAGGTTTTACCAGGAATGTGAGGAAAAGGGGGAGACTGTTACTAACGATATACTGAGAAATTTGAGCAAAAGGGGTAATTTAATGTCACCCCTGGATCTGCCACTGTGGACACAGTAATTAAACCTTAGGCTCACAAACAAAGGTAACCAATCACAATGAAAAATGAATTTATTTACCAATAAGGGGATTGAGACTGAGATACATTTGCAGATACATTGGCAATTTAGACAATTAAAATAAAAAGACTGCAAAACTGCCCTTGCACGAAATCCCAATAGACCATATCCATTTGGGCATAATGTTTTCCCCTATTAGACCATGTGTCATCCCCTAGAGAATCATTCCTTTTTCTCATTCATGGCACAACTGACATGTACTTGGTCATTAGTTCATAAGACTTGTCCTTGTCATCGTACTCGATAACAACTGAACCTCAGGGACTTTTGTTTGTTTGAACTCCATTGATTATTTTTTGTCCATTCTCAGTTCACTAGTTATCAATTTTTCAAGTAGCAATCTAAAAAAGGAATGAGTTCTATATCAAACCTTCTGCTTGCTATCCTGCTGCTATTTCTTCCCATACCCATACACTTTTCTAAATGAGGAGCAAATCTTGATGCAGCCATGTTGCGTTGGCAGTTAGGACAAATGCACTCTAATGGTTTCTTTAGAGGAACTTGCCCAAAGACATCAAGTCCCTCAACATCAACAACATCTAGACAAAAATATAATGTATCATGCCATGAAACAGTCAACACTCATTACAGCGGACAGCCTCAGGACTGCCACTTCATGTCTGCAATTAGCGAGCGTCCACAATAGCAAGTCTAATTAATTCAATCATTTTTTGTTAATATTTTTGCCAGGGATTTTTCTCCACTCCATAAAAGCAAATTTTTGGGGTGCAAGGTGAAAGTTGACTGTATGTGATTTTCTGTCTCATAGGGAAGGTTCAATGGCTGAAAGACTCTGTGGTCTCATTTTGCACTCCACATTCCAATAGGATATGGACTGTAAGCAGCATAATCAATGTTGTTGTTCCATGATATTTTACGTTTGCATATTAAATGTCATGACTCAGTGGCCATTTCAACTGATGATGTTAACAAAAGATTTCTCATTAGTTTGGGAATAATTGCAAACCATTATTACGCCACAGCTCAACTAGTATTTAACCATAGTTATTCATTTTAAGTATATAAGTCTTTGGGGGAGGGGGGGAGGGGGTGGGCTGTCAAGGATCAACTAATTTTATGAAAATTCTCCTATAAAATATAAATTCTTACACCACCCTACCCACCTCATGCCTACTGCGTGCTTGAGAAAATACTCAAATGATCCCTCTTTGTATTTCAAATATTCTTTCCATAATTCATATTCATAGAAGCTAGCACCCCTCCTTTTAGGAGCCCCCCAGACATTAATAATGAATGGTCACTAACCCTAATCGGGATGGACCCTGGGTGGTAAAATAGAAGAGAGAAAATGGTCTAAGGATAGCGTTAGAAATGTTTCATACTCACCATACTGTTTAGCAGTCCTGTTAAAAGAAGAAGGAAAAAAAAACAGTACATATTACATATTCAATGTATCGTGTTAAGACATCGTTACGAAAGATAACAAATATGTTTTACTTACTCGCCATCCCCGTCCTCTACTCCAAATGTTCCCATTTTAATAGCTTTATGCATCTCAAAACACAAGCCAAGAACAACATCGTCTATTATTTCATAAACAATGTCAGCTTCGGGACTAGAGTGCTGTAAGTAGTACAACAAAGGATAAAAAATTCATTGCGTTTAAACCAGTGAAGTAAAAACATTTTCGATACCTGAAGTTTGAAGTATCAATCTTTACCTTGACCTTCAATTACCAACATGAATTTAAAATGTTATTCATTGTACGACATGTACATATATTTAGATTAAATTATTTCCATCTACCTCTCGTATGTCTGGATTATCTGTGCCACTGATGTGGCCCGCAGTGACCATCTTCTTACTGGCCATATTTGTGACCGTTTTGCTTCCGTTTGTCTTGAATTCATCAGCTCAAGCCGGTTACAAAAAAGTTCAACGCGAAGCATAAAACTTTTAAAAATGCGAACTAAGAAGCTCTAAAACGAGGGTAATCCTTTGCGAATACCATTTATCATACATCAGGAAGGATTCCTAAATTCTAAAGTGGTTAGAAAGTTTGAATAAATGGGAGTTTTTGTCATGGAAAGTGTATCATTACTACGCCACATGGAGCACAAAATTTACCGCTCAAGTTGTTTTGCTTTTCTTGTCAGGTTACAAAGCAGCTTTTTTATAATCGGAGATTCTTCGTATGACACTCAATGTTTTAGACTATGCTTCGTAAACCAATCACATTGTTCGGAATATCTCGATATGGCACTCGATGGTGTCAATACACTATCGGAAAGCTATCGGAATAGAAGCCGGTCACAATTAATTTTAGTCAGCGGTATCCTTCATTTAAAAAAAATGGCGGAAAATAAATGAAGTTTACGGTTACAAACAATATTCTCGAAATTTTGGGTCTCTTTATCAAGATTTTATTATGTCTTCTCTTACAAAGAAACAAATTCTATCAAGGGGACGAGCCAAGACTCTTGAGTCGGTGAAAAACTTAAATTTATGGTGAGTTTTTTGAGTGAACCCCTTCGAAGAGAAGGACGCCATATTGGTTGCTACGTGAAATGACATTTATGATTCCTTTCGTTTTTTTTAAGATTAATTTCTTTTTTATTTACAGGGGGAGTAATTTATCAGATGTAAGTGGTTAGTGTAATTCTGTTGTCTTTGGTCGTTCTCAACTCTCGCATAAAGTGCTTGTTAACAAATCACAAATAAACTTTAAAATTTCATACAGACTGACTTTTGAAATAGGCTTACTGGTTAGGTAACGTGAACTAGATCTACTTATCTTACACTGCATGCAATTTGCAGATAAATTATTAAATCAAAATGTCATATTTGTACTTAAACAGGTGTCCGTGGTTAGTGAACTACCAAATGTTGAAGTTTTGAGCTTAAGGTTAGTGGTATTTATATGAAAAGGAACTTTATTATAGTTTGCATTGAATAGAGAAAAAATGTAAGCTACATTTTGGTGGGTATTTTGTTCTTATGCAAAGCCTTGAGCTTAAGATCAGAATAGTATTGGCATACTGGATCACAACATTTTTGGGTTATGTTGCAAGTTTGTGTAGGGATCAGGTGACAGGGGGAGGGGGGGAGGGTGGGGATCGAATTAATACATGTTCATTTATTTATAGGTAGGTCTACGAGTTTACATTTTACAAAATACTATGAATGCCAGGGCTGGCTGTGCATTGTATGACTATTAGATAATAACCCTGTCATATGGCATAACTATTTCTGTCTGTGGTTTCTTACTTAATCTACAATGTATACATAATAACTATTAATATACCTTCAATAGTCTCTCATAATTTGTATATATATTATTTATGTACATGTAAGAAAATTTGATTGAAGTATTAAACATATTCATACCCAATTATACCTTTTTCATCTTTATCATTTATCAGAGCTATTACATGGGTCATAGTAAAAAACATTTTAAGTTAAGAAATTTCAATTTTTTTTTCTTCCTAGTGTGAATAGCATATCAAGCCTGAAAGATTTTGCATATTGTAAGTAGAAGTCTTAATAAAAGCTATAAGACAGTATACATTTTAATATATAGTCTTAATATAAAAGCTATAAGACAGTGTGTGATAAAAATATGTAGACTTAAATTAGATAGATATAGATACAGTACCACCACAAAAATGCTTGCATGTTTTAAAAAGCTTCCATTAATGCATGGTCTGCATATTATATGCACAAAAATGTATAGATCCATAGACTGAGAGAAGCTTTGAAGTACTGTGGGTGTTCAAATTTAGGAGGTGCACTACTTATATTATTTATTGTCCATAAATTGTTGTTCATTTGACCACTTCCTTAAAATCAGGCCTGTAACTCTTTAACATTAAATATGGAACTCCTGATTTTTAAAGCTAGTAGGGATTTTGGAATTATAATTAAATATATGCTTTGCCCCATCAACTGACAGCGGCCTTGTTAGATGGCAGGAACATACAATCATTTTACATAAGAAATATTGTCGAAGCTCACTCCTTATGGATCTATCCCGTCGAGAGCTGTGTTCAGAACACTGAGAAGACCGAGTCTGGTGACTGTTCCTATGAATAAGTACTTATTCGTTTTATTTCTTTTAATTTCCAATGATATACAATTTAATCCTGGTCCAGTCAACAAGAAGAA